AGTTTCCTTCACTATTAAAAAAGAACCGAAAAAGTCTTTAAGTAAAATTCCAATTTCACCAACCTTCGGTTTTTCCAAACTCCCACGTACTGCGCTTTTCAAAAACACGTGAATTCTGAAGTTCAAAAGCCAACTGATGTTTGCGTTCTTCATTGCTGCCAATCATCTTAGCGGATCTCTTAGGAAACAGAAGTTTGTGATTGGTGGATTTCGATCCGCTTTATGTCTCTGCGTAGCTTCCTTGCTTGTGATCGTAATTATATTGACGGCAGCCAAAAGACAGCTTTTGAACTTCAGTGTTCGAGTGTTTTTGAAAAGCGCAGTAATCAGACCCCAAAATTGACTTTTAATCGCAACTAAAACACGGGAATTCAATACCCCTCTATGTTCTCTTACAATTTATAAAATAACTCAGATTGTACGCACGCTCTGATTGGCCGAGAGGCGTGTTTGCATGAGAGTATATAAACATGGTTGTTACGTCAAGATTTTTTGCTTTTCGCGCGCTAATCACGCAAGCACGAATTTGAAAAAGGTTTTGAGTTAAAAAACTCGTCGACAAGTTTACTTTTTTTACCTATTTCCTTGTCGGCTGAAACTTGGAAAATCTTTACAAACATGCTGTGTCAATTTTTTTTTTCGCTTGAGCTAACATTTTAAACCACAGGCAGGAAGCTCGAAATATGAGCATCGGCGAGCATCGGCATTGTTGCGTAACATTAAAAATATAAGGATTTGTATGGGAAAAAGAAACCTATCGTTTCCGTAACCTACGAAAATGAAAGGATTTCAATAAAAAACAGCTTACCTTACTTAAAATGTGTGTTACGTCTCTCCTGTGTGGTCCACGGGCCGGTTTATGGCCGTTTTAGCTGTTGGAGTGAATTTCCGGCCGTTTTCCTTCGGTGGATCAGTCAAGCCGCTTCGCTGGAGTGCCCAACCTTGGTAAACCATTATTTAAAGAGAAAACCGTTTACATAAAAACCCATAAAACGGCCATAAATCATCATAACGCGTTTTCTCGTGATCTTCACTTGTGTTCTTAGCGGAGCTCCCCTTGCGGCGCTTTGCGGTATTGGGTTACTTTTGGTGCGATTTTGCGGCAATTTTTTCTCAAAGTACTGTGTTGCGGTTTTCAGAGTCCAAGTATGCGGTAATTTTTAATTTTATGACGCGGTAATCGGTGAAAAAATTGTTGTCACGCGGTGATCTGCTTCGTTGCTTTAAAGCATGACAACTATACAAATTTATAAAATAACTAAGATAGTACGCGCGCTCTGATTGGCCGAGAGGAGTTGCATGAGAGTATGAAAACATGGTTGTGGCGTTAAGATGTTTCTCTTTTCGCGCTAATCACGCAAGCACGAATTTGAAAAAGTTTTCGAGTTCAAAACTCGAAAAGTTTACTTTATTTATCAATTCCTCCGTCGGTGGAAACTTGGAAAATCATTACAAAGAAGGTGTGTCAATTTTTTTTCGCTTAAGCTGACAGTTTAAGCGAGAAAAATCCGTATTTTGAATAGCATCTTTTTGCAAAACAAGAACTGATTACGCGTGCAAGACGCCGTGTACAAGACTTTGCGACTGGTAAGAATTTCTCTTTTAATCAGTGCTATAACAAAGAGGTTTGCGTTTTTTCTTGGGAAAGTTATTTTATAAAAGCAATAGAAAACTTTTTTCCTGTGTTTGCATAGCCTGATATAAACACTCGAGGGGTTGGGAGAATTCTCGACAGTTATGCGGCAAACCCTCCACTTCGTCTCGGGTTTGTGTCTCGAATTCTCCCAACCCCTCTCGTGTTTATGCAAACACGGAAAACGTTTTCTATTGCTTAACTATGGGTTCCTGACAAATCCTAAAAGGAGTCCTAAAAGGTCTGCCTAGGTTCCCTAGCCTGCCTGTCTCCCTAGTTGCACAGTCGGGGACAATGAGAGTCCAGACAATGCGCTCATAGACATGGTTGAGATTTTATTTTCGCGGGAAAAAGCGCCCTAAAATGTGTCTTGGCTAACGTTCTTACCGACCTTACCGTCTCCTTCGTGCCAGTCGCGAAACAATGGCGAGTGAACCAGATGGTGAACAGAGTGACTAGTCAGATAATCCAGCAAATAGTGAGGTCGTTATGAATTGCGTAGCAATTTTCTTTGAAGAAGGAAAAGGGGGCGAGAAACAGAAAAAAAAAAAAGTTCCTTTGTTTGGTAAATCGAGGGGAGAAGAGGCTGGGGAAATTCAGGGAAACCGTTTGGTAAGTACTATAATCTTATTCTACTTACTCCTAACCTACCTCAACAGTACATCGATTATCGACATTTTCCTGTCCTACAGTCTACTTGAAAAAATGAACTGACAGTTATCGGACCTTATCGTATATGAGTCTCACTGAAAACGTTTGATAAACAAAGACGAGTGCGATGGTCGTACATGTATGTTTATCGTATGCTTAACATCGACGCACCTTAATCTGGAAACAGTATTCAAAAGACGGATTTTAGTCTTGAGAACGGCAACTTCTTCCCTTTTGCGACTGCGGTTTCGGTATTTGGGTAAATTTGATGCGGTATTGTGGTTTTCTCTCGGTTACCAAGCGCGGTATTGCGGTATTCGTACCTCCCTTACGCCCCCCTCCTTTTACGAAAAGATCTTCTGAATTGAAGTTTGGCGGAATTTTTTTCAAACATTACTCATTGTCATTCTTGTCACAGAAGGTATGCTGTCTCCTTTCCTCCTCCGTCCGTTCACTACTTTGAAGATCAAGTCATTGGCCTTCATGTTTGGCAGAAAGATCACGATCTGTTTTTGCCTTTTTTACATACCATGAGCGCGACAGATTACACATGAAATATGAGCGCGTTTTTATGTTGTTTGTTTGTTTGTTTGTTTTTCTTTTATCTCCTAAGTAGTTATAAAAGAGCCTAAGGCAGTATAAAACTTGTCTGGGATTGAAAGTTGTTCGGCACAGCCAGGCAAAAAAAAAAAAAAAAACAAAAAAAAACACAATTTCAGTTAGCAAGATATGAGGCCAAGCAAGTGCACATCTTGTAACACAACCGGAGTTTAAAAATGCGAAGACATCCAATGACACTCAATCCCGGATATTGGAGAACCATGTGACCGTCACATAACGTTTCACGTAATGTGTCTGTCCATCCGCGCCAGCGGAGCAGCATGGGTAAGAAAGTGAAGCAATCTACCCATCTGAGAAAATTTGGTAATCACGTGACCGTACACCGCCCGACCGAGGGACCGTCCGTTCGCACCACAGGCATACCAATGTAAAATAACTCAATCAACGGGAAATCGCATAGCCACCGGCGTCTTGTAAGGCAGAGACAACTATAGAGTCAATAAAGACGAAAACGGAAGGCGGAAATTGTTTCTGTATCCGTGTTGTCTAAAGTATTTAGTTCAGACTAATTGTCATGTCCACAAATTTGGATCAGGAGAAAGACACAGAAAAAGAGAAAGTAGGCGTTGGGCCAGCGAAGCTCAACGAGAAAAAGGGCGACAGAGGTCTAGAGCGAGAGATAAAAAACAAAGGAGACATTTTTTTGTTGGAAGAATAACATGAAAATTTTGTAGTGGCGGTGACAAAATGGGAAATGCTAGTAGCGGCCACCAATGAAAGGTAAAAATAAGCGGCAGTGAAAAAATAGTGAACGAGAACACGTACGACAGTTCCTCCATAAAACGTGTGACTAAAAAGTTTCTGGAAGTTTCACGTTGTAGTCGTGAAAAACAACGGCAAAGAAGTGTACAAAAAAAAGTGTGCTGCACGTGCAAAGTTGCTTTTTTTGCTAATTAAACCTATTGCTGTTTTTCACCATTCTCCGGCGTTGCCTTCGCCGCTTAGCATTACACGATTTTATAGTTTTATTGAACAAACAATAAATATTATCGAGAACTTCGCTTTTAGCCCTGGCTAAATCTATATATTATTTTTACACTTTTTTAAAAAACTATGGGACCACTTTATTTGGCTTACCACTGTTGTGGTATCCCTATTTACATAGGCTCCTCTCAGATCATAAAATCATAAAGCCATTCCTACCTCCACTTTGAGTGACCAACAACGATTTTCTCCTAACATCATCACAACATCATAAATTAAAAAGGTTATGAGAATTGTTAAAAAGATCACAATCGAGTAAAATGTTTTGATCATGAAACAATTTGTTTGTTAATATTGGGGTTTAAAGGGGTTAAGCAACATCCCCCCCCCCCCCCCCCCACACACACACAAGTAAGACCCTTAAAATTATTGTCACAGAGCGATTTGTTGCACAGTAGCAAATATCTTTGCTGTTCAATTTAGAACACCATGAACTGCACCTAAAAATGTTCAGCAACATGTGTTGAAACCAATGATTACAATTCCTGTGAGCTAGTCAAAACAGCACAAACTAATCACCGTTGTTGATTGTACTTTATTTTTCCCACACTGCACCTGATTGGTTTATTCCTTGTGACACAATAACATTTCAGCAATGTTTTGAAAACAGCCTTATAATAATTAATTATTAATTTTTCTTGCCCATAGAGTTCTCGAACTAAAATGTTCAGTGTGTGATAATCAACTGATAATAAAAACAACTTTGTAAAATTTAAACCATGTATTATTTAAAAATTGATTTGCATTAGTTTCTCAGAAATACTGCTCATGCAATAGAATAATTACTAAAGACCTGCTGCTCCAGTCTTACATAATAGCATAACATCATTCCAACCCAGCCCATTACACACACCCTCCCCACCCCAACAACTCAAATATGCCTGAAGACAATTAATAAGGAATGGTAAAAGAAAGTCGGTCAGGTATCATTGTGTAAACACCATTCCCCGTGCTAACACCAAATGCAGTGGAGCCTTGAAGACACAACCAACCTCTATAATTAGTCTGGGCCCAGGCTCCGCATTGGCGGAAAAGGAGAGAAAAATCGGTTTTGGCAAAAAAAAATAAATAAATAAAAATCGGCGAGTGAAGCGAGCCAAGCGGTAGTCCTCCCCACCACTAAGCTTGCTTCGCTCACTGCTATTTTTCCTATTTCACCCCTTTTTCTGCCTTTTTCCCCCATTACAGAGCATGCATGGTCCCAGGTCACCAACCTCAATATACTTTACAAAGTTCTCCAAAGTTATAAACACAATTAGTGACACTTTTATCAATCTATTTTAATTTGCCACGCACCTGCTAGATAAAAAAATTAGGACCAAAAAAGTGAATGTTATCTACACTATGTCTTCTTTTTAATAGAACTGAATTAGTTGAAGGATTGTCTGTAGATGCAAATTTTCATCCTCAACCTCATTCAATGTCAGATTACAATGTGATTCCAGTATTTTAAACATAACTTTTTTTTATAATTTGTGCCATTGAATTGTAAATAACTTCAATTTATATAAATATTGTAATCACAACAATATTAGTACTTTTTGCGGTGTAATTGTATTTGAAATTATTAACATCATAAATATAGTTATAAAAAGATGGTTACCCTCAAGTGAATCAACTAACCAAACAGAGGGTGCTGTGAGTCACATCACTGAACCAGCTCCAAAGAGTCCTTAACAGTTAAGGCTGCAGCATCAGGTGACGGCTTGTTAGCCATCCATGACAGGTATGCATTCCAAAATATTGCTACAATTTGGACAAAGCCAACACGGTGCTGAATAGGAACAAACGTAAAATTCAGAGTCTGTGCAAGGGGCCAGATCTTATAATTTGTGATCAGTGTCTGTACGTAGCGTTCCTGGAGCATCTCTTTAATTTCATGAGGTCGTTTTCCAGCAAGTGTCTCTGACACACTGAAAAAGAAGCATATCATAACAGGAGCAAAGAGACTCTGATCCAACAGCATCTTTTTAAAGCCGGCAGTTTTGGCAGTCCCAGGGACAATCCTTTCCAGTGTAAGATACCATGATCTTAGCACAGGGCCAATAACTAGTCCAACCAAGCCCATACGAGCTGTTCTTCTGAAGTCATGATTTGTGCCTCTTCGCTCAGCAAATTGCTGGGTGATGACATCTCCAGCGGCAACAAGGACACCTAAGGCAAAAACAAGAAGTAATGAAGAGTTATTATGTCTTTGCAGCCCAGGGGAAAGCAATCCCATATTTGGTCTTAATGGGTAACAGCACTGAACATGGTATGGGTTTGGGGAGTTGAGAGTCTTCAAACTGAGTACACAATTTTGCCATTAGCCTCTCAAACAGGGTACTGCCCTGAACAGGCGTTAAAATGTGGGAGATTTCAATCAGTGTACATGTACATGTGTGTGTGAGGGGGGATTCAACAGCCTAAATATGGGTTGGAGAGTCTCTTGTCTAAAATAGAGTAGTGAAATGGACGGTTTTAAGGCCATATGGAGGCACACAGGGTGTATAAATGAGGCAGCAAGTGAGATTGGCAGTAACAGCTTAATCAACCCAGTCAATTTGTCACTTCCTCTGTACTTTTATACTTTACATAAACACATTAGATAATCACTCTTTTTCTTCCTTTCTTTTATCTTTAATTTACCCAAGGTCTGAGTGTAACCCAGGGATGAGTATCAATTCTACCCTGGGACTGGGGGTTGGGAGGGGGGCAGTATAGGATCACTGATTTGGGGGGAATAGGGGGACTGTCCTCACATCACTGTAGCTCACATCCAGGAGGTGTGAAGAAATTCCTTCCACCTTAACTTCTGTGAACTTACATTGGATCGCACTCCCTCCCCCCTTGGTACATTCGCACCCTACATGAATGCGAGTTACAGTATTTATGGAATAATAGGGAACTGTGAAGTCTAATGGGAATTAACATCAGCAGGGTGCAAAGAAAGTCAGTTATACAGCTTTTTGTTTGGGCATTAGCCCAAAGGTCATTTCAGCTAGCCCCAAACACTTTTTGATGAGGTAACTGCAATGATTTCACAGTTCTTAGACTGTAATTTTAATCCCTCAAAAAACGTCACTGTCCTGTACAGTGGGCAAGTTAAGAATGAGCTATTGGACACTACCTTCTTTTTGCAATAATATTATGATTGTACCATAGCATGTTCATGGATAGCTTACATATACATCAGAACTTAGTCCCTTAACCCATAAAACAAATACTTGTACCTGTTTTAAAGAAGATAACCAAACAAAATTTTGACCATGGAGCGCTAACCGTAACAATTTTTATGATTGTAATTTTTGCAGGCACCAAGCGTGCTTTGAAACTTGAAAAGGGTGGCACAACTTTTTCAAGTTTTAATCAACATCCATCCTTGCCATTCGTAGCTACAGACAATAGACCCTTGTCACCAAGCAGCCATTTTGTTCCAAGAGATTAAAAAAGCTTTGTATTTGCACAGCTAGCCTCATTCTCACTGCCAGCTAGGCTAACTGTGCAAAAACAAAGCTTTTTAAATCTCCTGGGACAAAATGGCCATAGTGTGACAAAGGTCGATAGGATATTGTTTCAATGCCTAATTTATATTTAATAGGTGTGCATAACAAAACTGGACCATTATTTTTGGAAGTTAGAAAATAGTGTGGCATAGCCCCTTTAATCTCACTAACAACATACGGTACTATAATGAAAGTCTCTCGTAGAACATTGCTCTCAAATTATTTGTAGCAAAAATCTTACTATTTTTTATTACGAGCAAGTACAATACACAACAAAAGAGAAAGATACTTGTAGAGTATGATTAAACCACAGTAAATTATAAGAAGGATACTGTAAAACCTAAGAATGAATATTAGTTAATTACTATAAAAGTGTTCATATTTACAAAAAAATGTAGATAAGCATGAAATTGTTAACACTTTTTTCTATTGCTTGTCAGTCAAGCAATCAAAATAAATAAAAATACCAAAACAGTAAGTTGCAAAGAAATTTCATTTTTGGAGTTGCCAGCCTGCACTTTTATCCTAGTTAATTATCAATATTATACAAGTCAAACTTGATTTTACTAGGAGCAGAAAATGTAAAAAATATGGTGATATATTTATTTCATGTGATTTGGCCTGACAGATACAAAACCACACTAGCAGAGACAGTCTTTATTTTAAAATGAGACATCCTTCGTAATATTCAAAAAACATTCTATGTTAACTCCGACATGAAGTAACTTGCCACTGTAAATAAAATAATTTACATGTACAGTCAAGTTAGTTTGTGTCAGCAATTATTGTTTAAATAAATATAATTCACGTTTTGTCAGATGCAAAATGTTGGGTATCCATGATGGAAAGTTTACAAACATCGTAACAAACATCGCTGACTCTATCCACTGTTTGGGAAATATTTTCTGTGAACGTTACATGTATAAGTCGAAACGGCATAGCCACAGCTCTTAGCTAACTTCACTGTAATCAAATGACTGACCCTTGTTTGTGCTTTATAAATTTATGTCATCAGCATTTCTTTTATAAATCGGTCTAGGTGGAGCAATAGGTTTCCTTTCTGTACATCAGGGTGCAAAGAAAGTCGGTTTAATTTATGGCTTGCCATTCAGGCATGAAAGTTGTTGCTAGTATGTACTAGCCCAAGAGTCTTTTAAGTAGCCCTCAAAAAATTTAATGAGCAGCATTGATTACAGTTCTTCACTGTAATTTGAATTTCCCAAAAAACTGCACTTGCCCTGCTGGCAAGTTAAGAACACAAATCACTAGCCCAATTGCAAAATCCACTAGCCCCGGGCTACCAGACACATCTTTCTTTGCATGCTGGTATATGTACATGTTCATCCTTCCTCAAGATGCTCAAACTAATAATGGATGGAAAACATTTAGCCAAAGATTCGTTTAGTGCCAATGATGTGGATGCTTGTTCAAATGTTTGAGTTACACTGTAGGAAGATAATCGTATGTTTACTTGTATACAGTTCCTCAGTTAATTCCCACTGTTTAAGATGCAATGACTTACAATAAAGTCCACAAAAACTAACAACAAAATAAAAACAAAAGACGGTTATGCATGAATGTCCAGGTGAACGTAGTCCTGAATGGGACCGTTGTTGTTGACAGTCCCTGACAAGCTGTAGTATTCATCTTCAGAGTCACTCAGAAGATGAATACTGCACAGGTTGTTGAAACATCAGTCACTGTCAACATTCAGGACTACGTTCACCCAGACAAACATACTCTGCCTACTTATGAAATGACTCCTGGGTTCAAACCTTTCACAAAATAAGAGCAATATGTAGACAATAGACGTATTTTACAATCTGGTGGCCTATTAAATATGTATCCTTTTATAGGATTATAATAACCATTTCTGACCTCGTTAACATGTGCAAAATACAAAACAATTCTTACTTTCAAACGAGGTCAGAAAGCCTGAATTTATCACACATATAAAAAAAAATATATATTAATAAGACACCATTGTGAAAGAGGCCGGTATAAAGCTGGCCCATACATGTATGTATACTAATCAGATGTGTCAGAGATACACGCACACTCAGATGCAGAGGTACGAATTGCACACGCATTTTTTGGACAGTTGTTTTGAGCTGCATGCACTGTACATATACATGTCTAGGTATCTAGTGCAACTGTAAAATTTGTATGAAGACAGTCTGTGGACCAAGAGCATTATCCTCCGCATAATGTTGTTGTTGAAGTTGTCGCTCAAAAGTATAAACCATGAATGATGAGGCCTAAAGGATTTATGGGTATACATGTATGTTCATTAGCAAAGCAAATTCAAAGTTCTTTTGACAAAAGTTTACATTGTCACGAGATACTCGTGCGGATGCAGATACCTACAAAGTACTTTCTGCAGGCATGCCGTTGTTGTTGTTGTTTTTTTTGTCTTCCAAGAAAGCTTTTTATGTCCTATCTTATGATTTTCAAATGTGTGTTTGTGATATGCCTATGGTCTTTAACTGTAGACATGACTCTTATGTGTCCAGGACAGGTGAAGCTGTGAGCTTTTTGCCCTGAGATCTGGAAACCGTTTGATATTTTTTGGATGCATCGTCATCAAAAGCTTCAATAAAGTAAACATTTCTGAAAAGAACTTGCAATGCTAATAAAGTTCTACCCATAAATCCATTAGGTCCCATCGTTCATGCAGTTTATACTTTTCAAGCGACAATGTTTTTTCAATCAGGCCGCAGATGTTCAAAAGATGGATAATGCTATCCATTGGATAAATCTCTATCCACTGAATAGCGCAATTCATTTTCCTAACACTTATCCACTGGATAATGATTTATCCTGTGGATAGCGCTATCCATCTTTTGAACAACCAGGACCAGGTGTATACCAGAGCTGTCAACCCCCCACATCTTCAAATATTGAGAATTGATGAGATAAGGGATGATAAATATGATGTCATAATGGCCATGGCACATGACATCATTTGTGAAAAAAACTGCACAAAAAAGATTTTGTTGGAATTGTCACATTTGACCTTTCTAATTAATTGGCTTACTTCCCACCAACCACATTATTGCTTATATTATTTGTGAGGAAATGTTTGATATTAACAGTAAAATAGCTCAAACAAGTACAAAGCAAAGTATTTGAAAAAATTCCACTGTGAGAAAGTCGATTCCACAAGAAATGGCAAACCATGGCGATTGCCCGCAAGATTTCAGATTCTAACCTGGAGACTGGGTGAATTATGGTTCAAAATCTGAAGTCTCCCAGATTATGCAGGAGGGTTGACAGCCTTGTGTATACAGTCAAACCCCATTTTTTGGACACCTGCTTACTAAAGACACCTCATTATTACAGACAGTTTGCTTTGTCCCTGGGGAAAGACAGTCCTTAAATTACTCTTAAGTTACATTTTCTCTAAATTCAACCCAGTTAATATGGACACCCCTCAGTGCATGTGTTAACAGAGAAAATGTTTACAAATGACAGAGTAGTGTGTACAACTGACAGAGTAATGGATAGAACTGATAGAGTAGTGCGTACAAACGACAGAGATAATGTTAAACCGAGTCTCTCTCTCTCTGGAGCACCAAATATCAAGAGGAGACGTATGAAAAAGCAACAACAAATGATGCCAAATAAGGGATGAGAGATAAATGACAAGAAGACGATGATATCATACAACATTGTCTGACAAATATAATTTTGAAACAAACAGCGCGCCATAGTATGGTTTCATGCCCAGAGTTTCGTTTGATTGAGGCCTTTTCTAACGCGAGATCAGTGTAAACCAATTCCTCCGGCTGTCGGCTGTTGACCGGAATCGGAAAGAGGCCTGCTATCGCATGCGAGGCACTGAAGTTATGTCGGCTGAAAATTATAGTTATGCCACCAGAATATTTATTAGCAGTAATGCACAGAGAAATGAAGTTGAATAAATTAGTTTAATATATTTATCTGAGCCATGCTGAGACGAACGAAGGTAATTAGATCGGAGAAACAAAAACTGTCTAGAATTTTCTATAGGTTGAGGAAGGCTAAACATTTCTAGATGACCGTTCCAAAAAACGGCCGTGTGGCAGACTACTTAACACACTTCAATATTTAATTGCAGGCCATAATACTTCTGATGACACTAAATCGGTCGCGGTAACTTCATAGCGCGAGTGTTTGTTTAGATGGTTGTAAAACAGACGGCAACCACAAGAAAGACAACAAGATGATTACGAAATTTGGACAATAAGACTGAAGCATACACGATGTAATATTCCAAGAAGAACAAATTTGCATACATTGTTTAAATACCGGTTTCGCTTTTTGTGTTATTGCCGGCCGGATCAATTAAGCAACATTGAAACCGTTTTGGAATTTTGGTACACCTAGAAAAGCAGGCTGGTTTTCATTTGATCACTACGATCCTTGCAATTGCTAAAAAATAAATACAATTTGGCGATCCTGGTCCCACCGTTCACTGTTTATACTTTTCAAGCCACAACGTTTTTCAATCAGATACTGTCACTGCGATCGCTGAGGTAGAACTTTTTCTTTCTCAATAGTTACCAAAAAAGGGTGCCGTTCATAATCATTTACGGTTCCTTTTTGTAGAGGAAATTTATTTAGCTTATAGATAACACGCCTTGCGTGCTTTTGAGCACACTGAAAACATGTTGTGCTTTTTCGCACAGGGCTTTTGTTTGAAAACACGCTCTTTTGTTCGACTTGCTCACCCTTAATAATTGTCTCAAGTGTGTCCTGTGAAACAAAAGAAATTGCTAATGAGGCAAGATTGCAAGCGTGGTAAAGCGTGTTAAAATAAATTCTTTTGTATTGAAGTGAAAGCGTGTCGTGCGCGTGCCTTCACCTTTAGCATTAAAATCCTGTGGAGGGTCACATTTTGCTATGTTTTCCATTTTGATTGTATGGAAATCTAACAATACACAAACTGTCCCAACTGTGTCTCCAAACGTTCTCATACCCTGCCAATTTAGAGGACATTTCAAGCTTAATAATGGCAAATCCGCAAATCCGAAGCTCATTTGTCTCTCAGAACAATTCTAAGCCCCTACAACGCGATCGATAAAAAGATTGAAGCTTATTTCACAGCAATTAAGCTTTGGATTTTTAGAAGACATCACTTTACTCAAATGATTTGAGTGAGACGATGTCTCCTAAAATCCATTATGAGAAAAAAAATCAAAAACGGAATTTCATTAATTACAATACCTGTTCCTATAGTTTGTGTTTTCCAAGGATGTGTTATAAGCAGCTGTTGATATTTCGCCCAAGCTCTTCTTAGAATTCTCATTACGGCTTGCCTTATATCTTTTTTTGTGTGCGCGCTACCATCCGCTGGAGATCACTGCCGCCATTTTTTCTCTTTTTTATTTCAGCAACCGAGCGGCCCTGGGAAGAAATTTGAATCAAACTTTGGGGCGGACGAGGGGCGGACCGTTAGAAAACTTATGTGGGGGGTGGTGGGGGAGGCGAAGTACAAAAAAAAAATATTCGCGCAAGGGAAAATTAAATGAAAAAAATTCGTGCGCGCCGATTAATCCTAAAAAAATCTTCATGCTATGGCCTAAAAAAAATTCATGCAAGGAATTTGATAACGAAAAAAAAATTCCTGCTGCTCGAAAATCCCCCTCCCTCCGATAACTTTTCTAATGGTCCGTCCCTTATCTTATCTTTTTGGGGAGGGCGGCGGGGGACGGGCAGGTAGGCTGTGAGGGGGGATGGGGGGTCACTTTATTTTTAGGAGAATAGAAGGGGGCATCATTCGCATTTGTGAACCCAAAAAAGACATCATTAATGAAGAAGAATTAGAACTGAGAATTCAGAAGGACGACTCGAATCTGTTGGACAATGCCAGTTTGAGAGCATATAAATTTTTTCCTTTTTTAGTTCAATGAACACATCATAGTTCAGGAAAGACACCATAGTTGAACAACAACTACGAGGGTTCAGAAAGCGACACAAGTATCAATGTATGTTTATTTGGATTTTCCGTCTGCTAAGGCAGGGGATCTTTTAATAGTAGGAGTATTGGGGCAACAACTTCTTTTTTTTGTAATTTCTTTACATATATTAAGTGCCAACGTTCAGTTCAGTTCATCACTATTCGGCGGGCTTGCTTGTATTGCTCCAACATCCCGCTGGTGTAGGTCTGTGGCAATTCCTAAGTAGGCGCGTGGTAACTTCTCAGTAGTTGCTGATCAGCAAAATTACAATTGCTTCAAGACTATACGGTGGTTTATTATAATAGTTCTAAAGTCCTCTCTTCAGAGCCTTGTTATTGTTATGGTATGATTAGAAACCAATTATTTGATCATTTTGATAGGTTGCATGGAGTTTATTATATATATATTTTAAAAAACTTGGGGGTGTTTTTAATCCTGTTTTAGGGATAGGGGGTAGGGAGGCAATAATTTTTAACTTTTCATTAGGAGATTTAAGGGGAAAATGGGTTTTAAAAGCCTCTATTAATATTATTTACTTATCTTAATTCAGCTGCTTGTTTAAAAAAGAGGGGTACTTGAGAGATGGTGAGGAAACCCATACAGTGCATGATGTAGGATTTGCTGTTTTTGGAAAGGGGATTTATGCCGCGACCCAGTTCAGAGTGATAGATTTAAGAAAAGAGTAGCATGGCAAGTGGAGAACAGCGACCGAGCAGATGCCTTTCAATAAGAAGAGACCACACACACCACGAGAGATTCAAAGCATTGTTTTTCTATTACTATGGACAATGTGAGCAATATATTTACATGGGCTTTGTTCTTTTTTCTGAAAAATAGCCTACATTGATCTTACGTAAGTTAAAACAATGTGCGTAATATATCTTAGTACATGGACCCAGTTTTTTCTTTTCCTTTTTTTTTTGAAAATAATTTCACACTGGTCTCTTTTTCATCCAATATTTCTTTATTTGTGTCTGGAGTCTCATCATCCTATTCATCTAGTCCGGCCTTACGGCAGGTTGACCTTGTACCTTAAACTCTTAAAATGGCTGCTACGGTTCTACGTTTTAAAATCGTGGGTGGATTCAGGAGTGTGCACTCTTTCCCAGATCTTAACACTGAATCCGCCTTAACCGTTCTCGTAGTCGTACTCACCTTGGGATGTAAAAGTCTCCATTAGAGCCGGTTCATTATTGCCATAAAAAGTTTTACAGAGTCCTTATAGTTACAGCTGATCTACGAAAACTGAGCCACTCCCATCTTGACCCTCTTGGCATGCAAGTGGAATGGATTGATTCAGTTACGAAAAAGTGTTAGATCATCAATATTAATGCTCTGCTTGAATTAGTTATACTTGTTTAGAGAATTTTGCCCTTTTAAATTAAACGCTGTTTCCTGCTGTTAACGTTTTCCTTGCTGAAGTGCAATTTATATAGACTGTTTTTTAAGAACATTGCAACAGACGAAATACTCAACCCCATTTATGAAGACTGGATCACGACCTGATCTCTGTAAAAAAGTAGGTACGAAAATTAGACTGAGAGAATGAAAGAAAATCGTAAATTAAGGCGCAAAATAAACATCCTCGAGATAACTCAGTATTTTGTTAAGTCAAAGATTACTGATCGGTAGAGCTGTTAAAAAAAGAAGCCTAGTTCAACTTTAT